AGAAACCAAAGGAAAAAAACAAACGTCATATGATTTCACTCATTTGTGGAATATGAAAGAAAAAAGCAAGCAGACAAAACAAAACAAACCCATTGACTAAAAACAGAATGATGATTACCAGAGGAGAAAGGGATGGAGCAACAGATAGAGGTGGTCAATTGGTTACTGGTGAATAGTGACTGGACATTTGGTGTTGGACATGATGTGATAATATAATTGCTGATATAAGAAACCTTACAGTACAAACTTACAGTGTTTTAAGCTTGTTGACTCAATTAAAAAATAAAACTATAAAAAAAGTAATACTATGCAATAACATTCACAAAAGAATGAATTCTAATGAAATAGAAACTATAGCCTTAAATGATAGTGATAAGTAAAAGTAGATTTATTGATTGTAACAAATTTATCACCGATGGGTGGTAAGATTTGACAATAATGGATAAGGTTATGGGTGTGAGGGGACATGAAGTAAATGGGATTCCATGTACTTTCAATTTTGCAATGAACCTGAAACTGTTGTAAAAATATATTGTGTTAGTTAATATATATGTATATACGCAAGTACATGCGAACACATATACCAGTCTTAGCATACAATCAATACAAAGGGAATTTGAAGACTGAACCTGGCCCAATGGTCACAGTTTGTCAATCCTAAATGAAAGTTTCAAGGATGTTGGTTTTTGTTCTGGGTTAGGTGAAGAATAATGCAGTTTGGATGTTTAGGAGAGAATGGAGATGCAATGTAGAAATTTTCCAGTGAGGAAACAAGCAAATGGTAAAATGAGGTGACATGAAGATATGAAAAGTGATTTTGAAAAAGAAAGAATAAAGAAACTGAACTAAGGGACTCCCTGGTAGCCTAGGGGCTAAGTCTCAGTGCTATCGTCACCACAGCCTGGATGCCTGAGATAGGAGTGAACCCACACATGGTGCCACAGACCTCTCCTGTCTCACCCTCAGCAGTGTGTTTCAGTCAATCTGCCTGTTCTGCTCCGCACTCTATCTCTGGTGAATCCTTTCACCCTCCATACCTCTGGCCTATACCCCAGTTCTTCATAAATAAATAAAATAACTCTTTAAAAATTAAAAAAAAAACTGGATTGAAGTAAAATAAAACTTTTAAAGTAAAATGCTCATAGGTAAAATGATAATAGTGGGTAGTCACTTTTAAAGGTGTTTCATGTGCTTTCATCCTAACATTTTCTTTTTTTAGGATAGATCAGTGAAAGAGAACAATGGGTCCGTGTCATGAAGAGCCTTAAATGCCAGACTTCTGAGCCTAAGCACAGTAAGAAAATGGAAACCAGACCCCAGGCCTAAATCCCAAGGTTACAAATTTGACTGTTTTCAAGTTAGTGACATGAATTTTGCAGCTAGGGTGATGCAGGATGGGGACCTAGTACCACTAAACACTAGTATTTATTTTAAATAGTCATACTATCTCTCTGAGCCGCTAAAAATGAAATGATAATAAATAGTTCATGGGGTTGTTGTGATGATTAAATAAGGTCATGTTATTTCCTTTTTCTTAATAGCTTTGATTATTACCATCCAGCATACCATAAAATTTACTTATTAGAATCTCTCCCCTCCATAATGTAAGATTAATAAAGTCAGAGGCTTTTACAATAATTAAAACAGCATGGTACTAGAACAAAAACAGACACACAGACCAACGGAATAGAACTGAAAACCCAGAAATAAAGCTGCACATATATGATCAACTGATCTATGACAAAGGAGCAAAGAATATGCTCTGGAACAAGGACAGTCTCTTCAATAAACGATACTGGGAAAACTGGATTGCCACATGCAAAAGATTGAAACTAGACTACTATGTCACACCATACACACAAAACAACTCAAAATAGACAAAAACCTTAAATATAAGACCTAACACCATAAAATATATAGAAGAAAACATAGACAAAACACTCCATGACATATACCTCAGAAATATCTTTGAGGACTCATCTCAGAAGCAAAGAAAGTAAAGGAAAAAATAACAGCTGGGACTACATCAAACTAAATATCTTCTGCACAGCAAAAGAGACAGTAATCAAAACAAAGAGATACCCTATTGAGTGGGAGGAAATATTTCACACCATACATTGATAGGGGATTGATATGAAAGATCTACAAAGAGCTCACATAACTCAGTAAGTACAAAACAAACACCCCAGTCAAAAAATGGGCAGAAGAGCTAAAAGGACACTTCTCCAAAAAGAAACTAAAATGACCAACAGGTATATGTAAAAATGCTCAACATCATTTATTATGAGGGAAATGCAAATCGAAACCACAATGAGATACAACCATACACTGGTAAGAATGGCCCATGATTGAAAAACTGGCAACAGCAAATGCCAGAGAAGATGTGGAGTAAAAAGAACCTTTTACTCTACTGGTGGGAATGCAAACCAGTCCAGTCACTATGGAAAGTTGTGTGGAAGATCCTCAAATTACTAAAAATGGATCAACCATATGATATAGGGATTCCATTCCTAGGAATCATCCCAATGGACACACACACACACACAAACACTAATTTGAAAGGATACCTGTACTCCTATGTTTACTGCAGCAGTATTTATAATAGCCAAGTTGTGGAACAACCTAAATGCCCCCAAACAGATGACTGGATCAAGATGTGGTACATATACACAATGGAATGTTACTCTGCAATCAAAAAAGATCAACTCATGCCATTTGCAGCAACATGGATGGAGCTGGAAGGGATTATGCTCAGTGATACAAGACAGAAGGAAAAAAGAAAATTATAGGATGGTTTCACTTATAGTTAGAATATAAGAAAACTGGAAAATTGGTCAGGAAAAGACAAAATTTGAAGCTGACCATAGATCTGAGGTATACAGCAGGGCAGAGGTTGGGAAAGTGGTCAAAACAGGGAAGGAAAGAACAAAAAGGAGATTGGTAGTGGTTCACAGGAGACTTGGTGGTGGGAGTTTTATGGGGACTACACCTGAGAGGAAAAATCAAATATTGTACAAAAATGAATAATAATGTAAGACATTTTTAATAAATTTAAACTAAATATTAAAAATATTTCAAACCCTAAATCCCTCCATATTATTTCAGTGATACATTGCAAATTTGTTATATTATACTTTTACTATCATTAAATTTGAAATATTTTTTTTAAAGATTTATTTATTTATTCATACAGAACTGGGGTACAGGCCAGAGGCTCAGGGATGGTGAGAGGCTTCACCAGAGACAGAGTGGGGAGCAGAACAGGCAGATTGACGAAGTACACTGCTGAGGGGAGCAGCGGGCGGGTCAGGAGTGGTCTGGCTCGCCATGTGGTCTCCTCCGGGGCAGGCGGGAATCGAACTCATGCGGAAGTGGCTTCAGATTCTCAGTGCTGTGCTTTAACCCGCTGCGCCACCAGGGAGGGCCAAATTTGAAATATTTTTATAAAAATATAAAAATAAAGTCTTCTCACTATTGATGTTTCCAAGCATAGAACAACACACCTAGAACTCAATGAATATTTCTTAAATGAATTCATAAATACAGTGGTTCCATACTGTATACCAAGTTAGGAAGTTTTCATATATTATCTCAGCAAATCCTTCTTTGCAATGCAGTTAGCATACCTATTTCACATAGGGGATACCCTAAAATTCCCAGAGGTGAAGTAATATTCCCAAGGCCACAGAGGAAATTAGTGAATGTCCCATGTTGCACTGAATTTCATGAAGGAAAACAGTCTCTGAACAGGAGTAAAGCCTGGCTGTGAGAAATTTGGATAAGGCTGAAGAGGTGGGACAGGGTAGAGCTTGAAAGAAACACAGATTGGAGATGTAATTTCTTGAGGGTCAACCTTGAACTCCTGAGTAGCTATAGGTAAGCCCAAGGTGTTTTCATTAATTAAAGCTTTGCAAAGGAAATCTTCCCAAGTACAAAAGTAAGTTGGGAGCTACAACTGCCCTGAATTTGAGACTGCAGGATTTTGTCCCTCTGGAGCACTGACTGTGAGGCAGAAGCCAAAGATGTAACTGAAAGAAATACCTGAGATTAGTGCCCTCATATGAAAATAAGACCATGACCCACATGGTTCTGCTCCCTCTTTTTTTCCCTTTGTCATAGCCTACTCTCTTCATATTTCTTTAATTTGTGCTTATTTGTAAAACATCCAATTCATCTGGCCCGCCATCCACTAGGATGTACAACCTTACATATGTAGAACAGGAATATTTGGGTCTTGTTCAGTGCTATATATCCCCAGAGCCTACAACAGTGCCTGACACATAGTAGGCATTTGCGGTATAGTTGTGAAATGAATCACTGTCCTTGCCACCAAGGTCCTCTTCCTGGGAGTAGGGGGAGCTAGAACAGAAAGCCCATTCTGTGGTAATATTGGGCTAAAGCCACATCAAGCACCCTGCCAGTGAATATGAGCAAAGGGGATACCATAGCTGCAGGCTAGGCCTGAGAAGATCAAGAAAGGGAGGAGGCCCCTGAAAATGAGGACCGAATCCTAGGGACCAGGGCTTGGCTCCACTTCTAAACTTCTCCATGCCATTTTGGAAAGAGCTGATCAGAAACCCCTGGAAGAGCTCCTGCCTCTCAAAGACTGGTGCTGGAGAACCAAATAGACAAAAGAGGGAAAGATGAGACTGAAGTTCCAGGAGGGGAGGGAGAGGGAGAGAGGAACAGAGGGAGAGGAAGGGAGAGAAACAAGTCCCTGTGAAAGTGAAATGACCCTTCATTTGAATGCAAATGTTATGTAAAAGCCTGAAGCCCCTTTACATCAGCCCAACCATTGGTGGCCGTCTACACCGGGACCCCAGTCACCTGGACACGTCAGGGTGGGAAACGCGGGATGGAGTAGTCTCGGAGGCTCAGAGGTGCTCAAACCACAGCCACAGACAGATCTCCTGATTCCCTGCTGCTTCTCAAAGTTGGGTCGTGGCTTTCCGGAGACCTGGACATGGCTTAGGGAGCCCCTTCCTTGTAACCACAGCACCATGTACGGAAACTGCCTTTCGGAAAAAGAAGCGGGCATGTACCCGAGCACTCTCAGGAACCCCTCGGGGGACGGCGCTTCAGGGGCTGGCGGCCCTGGGAGTTCACTACCAGTCTCCAACGTCGCAGCAGCCTCAGCTTACGCACACTACATGGGGTATCCCCACATGCCCTGCATGGATCCTCACGGACAGTCGCTGGGGGCCTGGGGTTCGCCCTATAGTCCCCCCCGGGAAGACTGGAGTGCGTATCCAGGGCCGTCCAGTACCATGGGCACGGTGCCCATGAACGACGTGGCCTCCAGTCCAGCCTTTGGCTCCCCTGAATGTGGCAACCTAGGCGCCGCGGGTGGTGGAAACGGTGGGGGCAACCTGCCAGCTCCAACAGGTGGGTCACTGTTCCCCATGGACGCCTGCGCTGCGGACGCCCATTCCCCCAGCAGAAGCCGCCACAGTCCCTACGCGTGGATGCGAAAGACCTTGCAAGTGACGGGTGAGTGGACTGTCCCCGTGCCCTCACGCCTTTGCTTGCCTTTGCTTCTCTTCTTAGCTTTTCACCTGCCCACGCTCCTACTCCTCAGGCCTCGCCCTCCCCACCCCCCACCCAACCCCCGCCCCCAGGCTCATAGCTGAGAAGGCCACTGCCTAGCTGGCTGCCCAGGGCTGGTCCTTCAGTGATGCCCTCGAGTGTTTATCTGCTCAAAGTCTGCAGCGTGTGGCGCTTGAAGCTAAACAGACACTAGGGTTTTGTGGTTTTGTTTTTGTTCTTTTTTTGTCATTCCCCAGTCAGTCAAGGGTGCAAACACGTGGACAACAGGCATGTCAAGCCACACGAATAGGGGTCCAACCCTGTAGTGACCCAGCTGGGAAAACAGATGCTGGGAAAACCAATGAGGAGAGTCAGGGAAGGGTAACTGGGGTGCTCAGGCACCACCACAGCTTGACCCCTTCCACTTACAGCCCTTCCCCACCTGGGCGGGTCAGCACACTTCCCAAAGGTGGTGATGCTCAACCTAGATTCACCGTGCTCGACCAGCAGCCCACCCTCCAGTTTTGCCATGAAGGCCAGATGCCTCTCAAAGCCCAGGTTTCTTTGCCCAAATTGGCAAGGGGGACTGGACTCAATCACATTGCCTTCTTGCCTTCTCCCGGTGCTCTTTTCTCAATCCAAGTGTCGAGGCAGGCAAGAAGGTGGGGACACGGTGAGCTACTCACCGATAACAGTGGCTGAGCTCCAAGGTCTATCAGCTCCAGCACTGATGCATGGTTCAAGTCCTCCTAACTGTCCAAGCAGCAGGTTTCCTGAGGCACCCGGGTTAAAAGGCATGTCGGCTATGCCAAGTGGAAAGGTCTAGAGACCCCCAACCTAACTTTGACCAACTCTCCTTCCAGCAAGCCAGTGAGTAGCTGCTGAGAGTCAGGGGCCAGGACTCTCTGCTTTAATCTTGGACGGGGAGAAGGGAGGTGGGGACATGTTTGTTTTCAAGTAGTCTTTCATCACATTATTATTCCAACCCATTGCTCCCTGTCATCAGAGAAAATTAGCAAAATCTGACTTTATCATTTTCATTCCTTTGGGGAAGAAATGGCATTCAATTGCATTTGTTCACAAAAGACTGCTTCTGTTCACAGTTCTGCATTTTCCTCCTTGCTGTTAAAAGCAAAGGCGGGAGGGTGGGAAGGATCCAGCTATTACCACTAGCTAAACTCAGAGTGGAGGGGCAGTTCCTGTTTATTAGGACATTACCAAGGCAACAACCTCACATTAAAAGCAAAAGTACTTAAGTATGTGGCTTTAAGGTGTTTTGGACATAAATCTGCATTGTTTTTTGAAACATAGGTGAGTTAGTTTACTATATAGAATAGAAAATGAAGTTAGGGTGGGGTACTCCCATGGCTGCTATTACATCTAATCTTAGAGTAGTAATTCACATCCATTCACTAAACTCTACCCATCAGCAAAAGCCAGAAAAGAAGTAATTGCTCCCAGTCCAGGATTATGTTTTGAAACAGTAAAAAAGAAAAGTCAAATTAGAATGTTGTTTGGAAGAGAGAAAAATTGGAGGGAGGGTAATTAAAATGTGTGTATATAAAATATATTTTAATTCCCTCATATGTGTGTGTGTGTATATCTTGAGTGTGTGTATATATATGTGTGTGTGTGTGTGTATATGTGTGTGTATATATGTGTGTGTGTTTATCTCATGAATTTTCTGTTTATGAGATAAATATGACCAGTCTCTGCTTAAAAATCTTCTGCTTGCATTTGCTTTTATAAGCTAGCATTGGTCTCTTAGGTAGTTCTAGTGCCAGGAGATGTTTACAAAGGGAACTGTGGCATCTTCATCATAAGCCTTCAATCCCAACCCTTATGCCACTTTCATGAGGTCTTCTCTCCAACTTCTTTGAGAATTTAAAATTGAATGATGTTGGAACCCCTCTGACTCCCAGCAGCTACCTATAGATGATGTTTTATTAAACTCAGTCTTTGTTGCATTTTAATATCTTGTAAATTAAAATGATCCCTTTGCTATATTCATGTAGCCCAATGTATATATTTAGCAATAATTTAAGAATTTGATGGAAAGTGTGGTCCCTCTCTCCCAGAAAAGTGCACAAAACACATCTGCCCGTGCATATGCATGTCACTTCTTAAAATAATATCTAGATCCAGATTACCAACACCACAAAAAAAATTTGAACTGATCACTTCACTGGACCACTCAGGACCAAAATGCACCCATTTGTATCCTTAGTACTTAGTGGGTGTTAAATATTTGCTAAATGAATGAATGAGTCAGATCCTTCTAAATTTTCTACTTTACTCTGTAGTATTGTGGGACAACATTTGGCTTATGACTGAGAAGAAAATAGATGAACTACAAAATGGAAGTAACCCCTCCCTGATTAAGGTAATCAAGTGAAAGCTCTTTCCATTCTGAAGAATGTCTTAAACAGCCTTAAGTTAAAGAAAGAAAAAGCGCATGTACCAAGGTACAACCAGAAACCATTTTATACTGATCATTATCACATTTGATATTCTAATGAGAGAAAGGGACTGACACACGAAGTAAATGCCTGCTCTCTAGGTGACTGAATCAGAGGGGGATGCTTTTATCTCCATGTTGTTCTCTATGTGGCCTGTGACAGTACATATCTTACTGTAAAGATTGTATAAAACAGAAAACTGACAAAGTTTCTTTGAAAAGTTACAATATTTTCATATTGTAAACATTGTCGGTGCCTTACAACTAGGAATTATTTTTTTCATCTCTATTTCTTTTCCACAAAGTTGGATGAGTACTGGCTTGGCTGTAAACTATGCAGAGATGGAGAAAGGCTTCCTGGTTAAGAGTGAGAAAGGGAATGGAAGAAGGAAGTGATTTTGAATAGCTCTGATGAAATCACTAAACAAAACACTGAGGAAGTTGTACTTAAAAGGTTTATTCACTTAGGACTCTTCATAAAATGAGTTGCTTAGTAATTCTTGAAGTTTATTGTTGTCTGCCTTAGTTTTGATTGTTTTGTTGGACATTTTAAAAAAAGAATTAGGTACAGTTTTAGATAAAAGAAGCAACGTATTCCTCTAAGATAATGAATGATGTAAAGTCATAAGATAGATGAATAATGAGCTGGAAAATCACCATGATGCATTCAGTTGCACTGTATCCCCTCTAGAAGGAAGGTAGTTTTCATCATTTTTATCCTCAACACCATCATCATCATAGCTTCTAGGTTTAGAGGGTGCTTTTCTGCCCACCAGCATTTTCACAGTCAGTCCCTCCAAAGAGTATATTAAGGGAAGTAATAAGTCATCATCTATAATGACATTTGCTTGCAAACTCTGGAGATAGTGTCTCCTGAACTGCAGAGATTTGTCTGAGTCTTTGCAGGGGGCAGCGTGAGGCAATAAGCTACCAAGAAATGGAAGCAACCTTTAATACATCTTAAGTGTTGTGATTTTCCATATCTCCAGAGGAGATCCTTTACACTCAAAAAAAGTAGACTCTAGAAGAAAATAGCTTGAATAGTAAAAAATTTCATTCTTTGTTGGTCCTTTGGTATGACAATATGAACATTAAGCTCTATTAAGAAAATGTCCAAAGCCTGTTTGACCTAATTTCATCATTTAAGAGGAAGAGACAGAGGTGGAGGAGAAACATGGAGTTGGTGGAGAAAGGAACGCAAGAGGAGCACCAGGAAATAGGAATTCATTTCTCTTTGCAAACTGTGCAGTCAATATTTCCCTCTGAGCTATGTCTTCTTGAGGTTGGAGGTCTTATCTGTCAGATTTGGGGCAACAGATCCTTTTTAACACTTCACATGCCTTTGATATGCAGTTGGCTCTTCCTTATCCCTCCTTTCTTCAGGGGTTATATTGCCGGAAAGGGTGAGGATTTCCATGGCAAATAAAGAGGCCTGGTCTTGACTTTATTGTCCTCAGATGAAACTGCAAGAGGGGAGTTTATGACCAATGGGGGTGGGGAAGAACTGCAACCTTCCTGAGTTCCAGAAGTCTGGTTATAGTTACTGATTACCAAAGAATGGAAAATACAGACACACACAAGTTGAATTTTAACTTCTCCCACAAGCTAGAATTTAATCACTTAGCCACTTTAGGATTGGGAACCCTCTCTTCAAATATATATGTCCATTTAAGGCCTGAGGTTCTGGAACTAAGTTAAGCTTCAAAGTTTTAATTGCGGCTTCAAATACACATTCTGCTGTTGTAACATTCCAAATGCCAGTACCCTTGATTTCCTGAGTCTGTTAGGACTCAGGAAAACCAGCCAAAGCTTGGGCCTTTGAGGAAGTTTCACAGACTGGGGCTCCTCATTTTTCATTTTCAAGGGGTAAAGTTTTGTTTCGTTCATTAGTCCATGAGTTATTCAGCCATTTAGTTTAATCCTAAGACATACTATTCATTTAGAATTTGTTTCTACATTCAGGTCTTTTTTTTTTTTTTTCTTTCCAGGAGATAAAAGGGTGTCTGACATTTGTTTAGGGCTTGTAAATTCCAAGTCAATTGGCTGGTGTTCCTGAATGTAAAGAGGGTTCAGGATGGTATCTGATGCTATGGAGCTCCTTTGTTTGGCTTCGCTGAATCTTAACACCTCAATGGAGTTTAGGGACCCACTTTAAAGAAACCTTTGTCCTACAGATCGCTGCCCAAAACTTCACATCAAAAACAACTAGTGAGGATCAGAAGGAGTTTGCCAAAAGTCATAGAGGAACGGAGGGAAATCCTTGATGGGGTTACAAAAATTGAAAGGAAAATAATAAACTTTCCTATCATGTTTGAAAAATTCCAAAGGAGAAATAAAACTCTACTTGAAGGAGGTCATGAAGATTGAGTTAAATGGTATATCACACAAAGCAACTGTTTGTATATCCCTGCAAAGAATATTCATTTTATTCTACTTGAATCAACATTTCCTCCTTCTCCCACTCACTATCTCTTGGGAATAAAGACAACCCACCCCCAAAAAAACAAAAGCACTGAACTTTTTTCTTAATAGGTAATAAGAGCTATCTTAGAACAGAATCTAAGTGATAATATTTTATTTTTTAATTACTATCCAACTAAATTCTTTCTAGTGATTGCATGTAACTATGTAACTAATAACATCAGGAACACAGAATGGCTTGCACACTTGGGTAATTTTTATTCATCTCAGCATGTTTAAAGTGGGAATGACATTTAGCACAATGGTCTGTGTTTGGGTCCTTGACTAGCACAGTCACTTTCTTACCTACACTGAGCCACAGGCAACTTATGTGCAAATGGGGGTAAGACTTGTGCTGCATTATTTAAAAGGGTAGATGAGAGATTTTCTATAAACAAAGGGCATACAAACAGAAATGTATACATATAGCAGTGACAGATAACCAAGTACTTAATGGAGATGTAAACATAAGACATATCTGGTTCATAAATGTATTTATTTATATATGAAAATAGAATTGTTCAAAAGAAACAATCTCCCAGGAAGTAAAATAGGATTGAATGCAATGCTTTCTCCCCTAACAGGGAAAACCAGGACAAAAGAAAAGTATCGTGTGGTTTACACTGATCATCAAAGGTTGGAGCTGGAGAAGGAATTCCACTGCAATAAATACATCACCATTCGGAGAAAATCAGAGCTGGCAGTCAACCTGGGTCTTTCTGAGAGACAGGTACACCAGACATACATCCAACAGGTCTCATAGTCATTTCAATAAGCTGAATTTTAGGGAAGTCTATAAGCAGAAGTAGAAGCAAAACAAGACCAAGACATTATCCAAGCTCTCTTGAAGCCTACATTAACCCTACTGGTGGGTGGATCTAATAACAAAAATTGAATATGGTATGGAAGCAAGAAGAGGGAACACAGGAGATAGAGAATGATTAAAACTCCTATAGAATTGATCGTTCAAGTCAAAATCTTGATCTGGTTCCCTAAAAGTCTAAAATCAATAGATTGAAAGGATATATATTTGTAAAACATGACAATTATCTAGTTCACATCAAACTACCGCAGTAACTGAATGCCAATGCTGCTACCTGCTATGTGTTACTCAGGATGGGAAATTTCACTTTTATGGTCCATATAAAGCTATGGTGCCTGCCTCAATTTTAGCTTACCATGGGTATTCAGTGGAGATTAAATCATGGCAAGAGTTGATAGTTTCTATTTAACTGGGCTTTGACAATATATATTGCATTATCCCTTTTCAACCATGTATGAAGGAGCATTGGTATCATAATAAGAGATACAGTATTTCATCATCCTTATTTTCCCAGTTCTGTTTCATTAACGTTAGGAAATTTCTTTTAATAACAGATCATAATCACCTTTGTTGTTTAAATCCTTCCCTTTTCATCACCACAATTTCAGCATCTGCCACTCTATCACTATTTCCGCCTGTGTAACAGATGCGGTGGGTAAAGTATAATACAAAGAACACTGCCTTCAGAGTCAGTAGCCCTGGATTTGAGCTCAGTTTCATCTCATAAAAGGCACTTACCCTCTCTAAGTGACAGCGTTTTTAACCTGTTAAATGGGCAGACTTCACTAGGTCATCGTGGACTGAAGTGAAATGATGCATGCGAAATGGCCTTGTATATGTAAAAGTCCGTGTACAATATCAACAATGACTATAAAAATTGCATTCAGTATATTGCCCCATTAAATCAAAAGCATTTTGTGTTTCAGGTGAAAATCTGGTTTCAGAATCGCAGAGCCAAGGAGAGAAAGATGATCAAAAAGAAAATCTCCCAGTTTGAGAACAGTGGTGGCTCAGTGCAAAGTGACTCTGGCTCCATCAGCCCTGGGGAAATAGCTAACACTTTTTTCACCACCCCATCAGCTGTCTGTGGATTTCAACCTATTGAGATACAGCAGGTTATAGTCTCTGAATAAAAGACAAAGAGAAAATGGATAGAGCCTTTCCCTTAGCATTGTCTTTTTGGTCTCTAAGATATCAGCAGGGGAGTTGGGGCAGGATGTATTTCCTTGTGAGGCCGCATTCAGATAAAGCAATGTGCAATGGGTTGAAGATAATTCATAGGTCCCTTAGTATTAGAAACCATCCCCCAAACCTCCTGTTATCTGTCAGTTACTCAGGAAGCTTGGTAGTAAACTATATAATTAAAAACTACAACCACAGACCCTTGCAACTCCATTCACAATTTCACAAACTTTGTGAACAGACTGCAAGTAAAAGAAACAAATAGGTCTGCCAGGGGGCACCATTGTGTATATGCACTTGTGTTTGTTATTTGATGCTGGCTGTGTTTTTTATGCTCTCTTGCCAGGACTGGGGGAAAGGTAAGCAGAAATTTTTGTCTCTAGCTACCTCTCCAGGTGTTTCACTCAAAAGCTAACAGGGTTTTCATAACAATGAGGTGATTACAAATCTATTGTCACAGGTTAAGTAAAATATATTTTTAAAAGATAAGTTTTTCCTTCTCTCACCCTGATTTGGTATCAAGTATCTTATCTCAGAATTTCTAATTGGCAGGGTCAATTTCAAATTTTTCCAAAACAGTGAAATCAGACTAGAACAGTGTGTGTCAAGTTGGTTGAATCTTAACAAAAGTGAGCGCCAACACAGAGAATAAACTCTTACCCTGTGGTGCTCTTCCACTCCATGTACAGTTGTAGTTCAGTGGCAGTCAGATTAACATGAGCACAAGAACAGTGCATTAGCCTATAATCTCTCCCTGACATCACCTTTCAACCTATTCAGTTTTACCTACCGGGTGATATCAAGATGCTGTGGCGCAAGGTGCTGCAATTTACAAGTTACCAACACAACACTTGGGCTGTGCTGAGTAGTTTTTGGTGTTTGTCCAGCATACCATTTGCATTTGGCAATGGCCAAATGCTGTGCTTTGAATCATTTTAAATGAAGCTAGTTTACAAGAAAATTTGATTAAAGTAAGAAAGTAATCGGAGCACAACTTTTCCCCCCCTTTATCAAGATATATATTTGATGTTCTTAAGAAAATTAGAATCTTGAGCTCAGCTATCAGTTCCGAGGTTGGGAGTAAGAAATTTGTCCGCCCTTTCCTTTTGAAAATCTAAGAAAGATGGTTTACTTTTTAAAGCCTCTCATTTAGTCTTGAAAATATTTAAGGAAAAACACTTTCATCTTTCATCCAGCCTTTTGGAATTATCATATGGCTTTCCCCCATTCCTCTCCATAACACTCTTATAAGGGAGGTAATCAATTGCCAATTTTGCTAATAGGGAGATGTTGCTATGACCAATCAGATCACGTTCCAGAGACACACAGGTAGACAACCATGAATGCTGATGAGAACCCCTAGTTGCATAAGAATCCTGTTCCTCAATCTCTAGAGAGCACCTCTTTCCATTCATTTTCTATTTGATTATGCCATTAAAGTGGCACATAGCTGCTTAAACAACAGCCAGTGATGTTTCTAATTACTACCTAACACTGCAGCCTTAACCCTTTATTTTCCAACTCATCTGCAGTGATGTCTTACATTTGTGTAATATTTTATAGTTTTCAATGCACTTTCACATCTCTTATTTGTAATATTTGGCCCTAATAATCTTATGAGATAGGCAAGAGTTGCTATCCTCACTTTGTAGCTTAGGTAACTAAAGACTATAGGGACTGAAATATCTTTGATTAACCAACTACTTCTCTAGCCAATATCTACATATTGAGGGATGGTGATGAGGATAAATCAATTTAAACTCTTATTTCTCTTCAAATCATTACCAACTTTCCAGTAAGTTAATGGCAAAATCTATGACTAGAATTCATATCCACTAGATTCAATGAATGTTTGTTGAGTGCCTACTCTGTGCTAGGGTTTCTCAACTTCCAGAGCAACACATATTCTCTTCCTCACTACCTCCAATAAGTATGGAATTGACTGCATAGCATGTGCATGCTAATTGGTCAGTGGGGTTTCTAGAGCATTGAATACAAAAAACCAGTATTATAAAAGTGAATTCTTCTAGTGTAGTTGGGGGGGGGGGAAATTAGAGATTCGAAGGACACGGAAGCTAAGTACAGAGTATACATAGACAAGGTTACACTCAAAAGTTAGCTTCCTCATTCCTATTAGCCTCCCCTACCCTCCCCCCACCACCAATGGTATACCTTTGGTTATAGCAGTAGACTTCTCTGTAGGGTTATTCTTTCCTACTATAAATTTTTGTTCCATAAAGAAACAGTTCTCTATCTTTGGAGATTCTGATTCTCTAGAACATGTAACAGAACTACAATATGGAATTGCAGCCACTTTCTCTGAGAAAACATGCTAATTCGTTCTCTGAAAGCTGAGGTAATGTATACTCATGCTTATATGTCTGGAATGTGATGATTGTGCTGGAGGTATATAGATTAAAAAAAAAAAAGTTAAACACCAAAACTCAGAAATTGCTTTCAAAGTAGTTTTTGATAAAGAATTTCTTCTGGTGAAAGAAGAAACAGAAATGAAATCATGCCTAAAGATTAATAGTATTCAATTAGGACAATAGAGCCATGCAATTTTTTTCTTTTGATTGCTTTTCCATTTATTCTGTTCATATTAGAAAATAAATATGTCCATAAGAAACATGTTTTTATCCTAAACCTTTCTTTAACTTATACATAAGTAATTTATAACTCTAGAATCTTCCTAAAAATTTATAGAAGTGTTCCCACATCCCTGTTCCTTTTTAAACATCCCTGATCTAGTCTGGAAGTTATGTACAGCTGTAAAGAAAAATCTTGGGGAAGTGCTTGGCTTCTTTTCAAAAGAGGAAGGAAGCAAGGTCTAAGGGAAATTTTCTACTCTTCATTCAGATTCAGAGAATCAAACCTTGTCTGGGTTGGAATATTTTGACACTATCAAGCCAAGTCAAAAAAGAAAGAAGAAACCAGCAAGGGGGAGGGTGGTAAAAAGGAGAGCTATTAAAACAGTATGAGGAACATTTGGGGGTGGTAAAAATGTGGTTTATTTTGGGGTTGGAAAAATGTGGGGGTTTTTTTTCCTTAATTCTGGTGATGGGCTCATTAATATATATACATGCCAGTTTCTTTTCTCATCCATGCCTGAAAGAATGATTCTCACAAGGAAGGATTGTAAGATGGGCTATTATGCTTCATTGAAGTAGTGGCCAGAAGATATGCCTTCAACATTTATAAGCACATTCATGGAGTGGGCTTCAAGAAGCAGACCTTTTGAGCACTCAAAGAGATCTGGAAATTTGCCATGAAGGAGATGGGTGCTCCTAATGCATCACTGAGTGCAGGCTCAACAAAATTGTTTGAGCTAAAGGAAAAAAGGAATGTTCCACACTGTATCCATGTGCAGTTGTCCAGAAAATTAAATGAAAATGCAAACAATTTGCATACATTGGTTACCTATGTACCTGTCACCACTTTCAATATCCAGTCTAGTCAACATGGATGAGAATTAATTATGATTGTCAAATAAAGTTGTAAGTTGCCCAAAATGTCAAAAATCAATTCTTAATATGTACAATTACTTATATGTCAACTATGCCTTAAGAAAATTGCAAACAAATACAGCATAGTGGTTACAATGCCAATAACAGAAAGAAGGAACTCACTAGAGGATTTAGTCTATAGAGTTATTCACTTTAGATACCTTAGCTTTAGACCCCAGGTGGGGAGCACTTCTTTGCATATGCATTATAATTGTGCTACTGATCTTTCATACCATGGAGTTGCGTTTGAAGGGAAGAAAGAGACCAAGGCATATGAGCACTGCATCTTCAAGCATGAGTGCCAGTGCAAAGGAAGGAAGTCCGCTACTGTGTGCCCACAGAAACAATAATATCAATTGAAAGTAGCTATACACCTGGTGTGAAAGAAGTAGCACAGAATTGAAAAGTGAGACCTAAAGTTAGAGTTATACCTAATTCTCCAACTAGTTTGTAATTTTTTGGTTAAGTCACTTTACCAATAAAGGACTTTATTTCATTTATGAAATTTAGAGATTTGATTTGATTTCAAGAGTTTAATCTAGCTCTAATTTCTACATGACATCCTGAGAAGAGCCATGATTTTTACCCTTTCATAAAATAAAACACACACATGCACACACACACACACACACACACATTATCTTTCTCTCTCTCTTGATTTCTCAGGTATTAAAATACCACCAAAGCAATATCTAGTCCTTTGGTCTCAAAGATATTTTCTGTCTTCAAAAGTTTACAATGGGAATGTTGTAAACAAAGTCCCCTTATCTCCATGTCTACAACATGCTTTTACTTTTCTTGACAATCTCTTAAACTCTAGGTCTGTAAATCTCTAAATAAAATTCAAATGCTACTGGGAAGGGAAGGTCTTACTCTCAGTCATTTCTCAAATACCTTTCAAACCAGAAAAGCTTTTAAAGGCCAGTTCAACATGAATCATGTGAAAATGCCTTCCTAAAGCAGGAATGACTCTCCTAAGTAGAGGATATCACAAAATTAATACAAATTGCTTGTATTTAAAAAAATTTTTAGTTGTTCTTGTGCACATTTTTTGTGGTTTTTACTTCAGCTTTTTTTAAATTGAAGCAATATTTCATCATTGCATTATATTTCAGGTGTATCATTGAGAATCAATATGTTCAATAATACATTAAGTTCACTAAATGTCCAATATTATTCTTCATTATATCACATTTGTTTCTATTTACCCACCTCCACCATCCTTCCCTTCTGGTAAAAACTAGTTGGAATTATAGTCCAAACATTTATTTTTGTTTTATTTCATTTATCAGTTTGTTTTCTCTATATATCACAACTGAGTGAATAACACAGTTTGTCTTTCTCTAGCTTAACTCACTAAGCATAATCCTTGGTCCACCAATGTTTTGCAAATGGCAGGATTTCACCTTTTAGAGCTGTGTCATATTCCATTCTGTACATGACAC